CATTCGTTGCATTTTACATGGAAAAAGATAGATTGCTTTTAATGTTGCAACCCATGGAAAACGAAAGATGAATAAGAGTTCAAAATATTTCTCTATACTTTAAGACTCACATGATTAGAATTTTAAAACACATCCTTTCACGGTTAGAATTCATTAAAGAAAAACCCACAAATATGTACAGTGTTTAATATGACAAAATGGAGCCCTTTTAAGCATCTGAAATTGTCACAAATGGAAGTCAATTTTCAATAATTTTCCACATTCACAAACATTAGCAAATATACATGTCATGAAATATTGTTTGTCTTAAGCTATTCCCAACGTAGATCTCTTGCTTCAAAATTAAGACAAAAAATGCAGGAAATTAAAGCTAATTGTACTTGGATGGAGTAGAATTCTGTTTGGTTGTTTAAAAAAATATAGTACTTAAGAACTGTTCAGAATTGTGTGGAGTCATTGCTTGTAGAAAATTAGTTCATTGTGTACACCAATTACAAAATCTATCAATGCATTGAAATAAAAATGTTTCACAAATAAAAACATCAACATGCATGTTACCAAATAATTTAAATTCTCCAGCCTTTCAGGAATCATTAAAACCACCCAAGTATTATTATTATTATTGTGTGTGAGTGTGTTTATTTCTCTCTCTCTCTCTCTCTCTCTCGCTACAAAACAAACAAGTGTATGCTCACATGATGTTTTGTAATAAGCTGTGGTTGTTTTGCATGTGTTCTACTCTTTACATATCGTACTAATCCACATCTTATTCATATACATTCATTTGATCCTCAATTCGATAACATTCTGTTGATTTTGAAAATATGAACAATTTTGTAAAATGCACTTGTCATCACAGAAATCAGTATAATTGAAGCATATCAATGCAATTCTGAAAATCTGTGATGTGGGTAAAGTTTTTGCAATGAGACAAAAATCCTCAAATAAATGAATGGTATGGGAGCCCCTTTTGTACTAGACTATGGAGAGTAAAGGAATGAACCAGGATTCCAAATTGAGCATTTCCAGACATGCACTTTCAAAAAGGATTGCCAAAAAGGCCAAAAAAACTGCTACAAAAATACAAAACCAGATTCATGCTTGTGTTCTCAACCACATACAATTAAGCATCAAGGAAAATATATAGATAAATAAATCAACAAAATTCAAAGAATCATTACTCTACTGTTTTTATTTTTATTTTATTGGAGGAAGAAGATGATCTCAACAACAACAAGTAAAGGTGGACCATGCAAACAAAGTCTGATATTTGTGCATACAAGGCCATTGCAACACTTGTCCATTGCTGGATACTTGTGGGTTAAGAGTACCTCAAATTGAATTTAATGGTTTTTCATTTACTCTTTAGACCTTGAAGAAAACACACACACACACACACACACACACACACATATATATATATATATATATATATATATATGATTTAATCACCCCATGTATTATTGGTTCTTGCAAAGAGGATAAGTGCCTTATCATTTCGGTGGTTTATTTATTTATTTATTATTTTGGTGTTTATTGGAAGTTGCAAGTGAGAGCCTTCCTTTCATTTATAATTAGAAAAGTTTGTTCTCTGTATAGAACTTTGTTTCTGCCCAAAGTAGTTCATATGGAACTGTGCACACTATTTTTTTTATTTGTTCTTAATTTTCAATTTTAAAAATGAAAATTATATAATTTTTTTTGAGGATTGTTTGCAATTTCAAGGAAGAAAGCATATGAGTTCCACATTGAACACCTAGAAATCATTTACAGCAAATTCAATTAGAAGTTAGAAAAAAAAAAAAAAAAAAAAAAAAAAAAAAACCATCTGAGTGTACATATAGACTATGAGATTGAAACTTTGAGAGATAAACAAGCACCCTCTACTAGTCTATGCATTTTAATTGAAGATTTCATGAAATTGAATTGACTTAAAATTGTGGAGTTAATGCATATACTCAATGCATAGACTAAAGTAAGAGAAGAATAATAAGTTGAAGAGTGCACTTTGTGCATTAATGAAGAATACTTGTGCATGAAAAGATGAGATTACAAAGAGATAATCTCTATGTGGAAAGGAATGGTGTTGATACAAATAAACCATTCATCTCATTATTCTTCACATATATATATATATATATATATATATATAGGGTATTGCTAATGCTGCTACAATTTTTGCTATTGTCATCACAATTTGTCACCTACTTAAATTATTTGTTTAGTTTTATTTATTTATAATTTATGCATATGTATATAGTAAAAAAATTGATAAAGTTTCCAATGTATATATTAAACAATGATGAAATGGTTATGGTAGAAGTAGAAAAAATAAAATTTTATCTTGATTTTGACTGGAAATTTGATAGAATTATTGTGGCAGTAGCAAAATTTGTGGTGACATTAGCAATATTTTGTGTATCTTGTTCTTAGCATGTGTATTTTGTTCTTGATCCACAAGGTATTCTCTAATCTATTTTGATCATTTTGTGCTTTATTATTTTTTTTCAATATCTGATCATAGCCAATTGTGTGTAGCTCTATCTTAATATACTTCTTTTAGATCAATTAGAATTATTTATCCGAATAATGATAAATATGAAACATTACTACTAATACAATATGTCTTAAAATCTTACTAAAATTATTAACTTACAAGGTTTTTTTTTAAAAGAAATAACTATAATTATTGTGTGTATTATATACACACATATAAACATACACTTTGTAATATAAAACACTGTATATTTATGGATGGATATTTTTATGAACCAATATATTTTTATTGATTTTATCAATGACAAAGATTTGCAAAGCTAAGATAGAAAAACCTAAAAAACATTTCATGTGAAATTTATGTGTTTTATCATAATTTATTATTTCATATATATATATGTATATATATATATATATATACACACATATACATTTTCAAAAATTGAAAGATTCAATAATGATTTGCATTAATAGCAAAGAAAAACAGATTTAGTCGAACATGGACAAATTAAATATTAGTAATAAATAGATCTACATACATAAATAATTGAATCACATTGATTGATATGTAAAATTTAATGTGCAGCTCTTTTTGTAAATGTTGGATTTTTTTTATTGTAATATTTTAAAGCATATTTGATAATAAGGTAATTTTTTATTCTATTTATTATAAGAAGCTTGATGTGTAATACATGTATGTTTGTTAACATATATTTTTTTCTTTTCAAAATGTGATACTATAAAAGAAGCCAAGACTCATCTTTTTATGATTCTTCTATGCTTGTTTTAGCTTCAAAAAATTGATGCTTGGGTTTTACTGTGGTCATTTATAGTAGTTTGAAGTAGCTACATAATTTAAAAATTTTAAAACAATGTAGGGGAAAAACAGATAATGAACAAAGCTATATGCTTATTGTACCACCAAATACCCATATTCTTTTCGACCTTATCAACTACACTCCAAGACAATCTCTGGATAAAATGTTATTTAACCAATATTTTATAATGTTATTTCAATAAGAAATGAAATTTTGAAAAAGGAAGAACCTTCCATGATCATTTTTTTAATTTTAATTTTTTAATTTTTTAATTTATTTATCATGAAGCATATTAAATTTGAACTGTAGAACAGCCATTCAAAAAAAAAAAAAAAAATGAAAAAAATGAAAAAAAACAATGATCAATAATTATTTCCTCTGAGGCGGATATATATATATATATATATATATTCACATAATTACACATGAATACACATGCAAGCATTCCACCAGATGGAAAGTGGCAAAAAGCTCATGCAGCAGTTCATATTCAAATACACAGGTCAAATAACAAAATTCAAAGAATCATCATTCATGGTCAAGTATGACGTTCATGATCTTTTGTGTTGTTCATGGAACAGGAAACATAAAAATCATCCATTTTATTTATTTATTTATTTATTATTGTTATTATTAATGTTGTTCTCTAAGGTATTCTTGATGACCCAAATCATCACCAGAAGCTGTGGATGTTGAGGATGCACCCTCTTGGCTTTTGTGGGAGGGAGTGCTTTGAGTCTTGTGCTGCCAGCTACAACTGACCCATTTTATTTATTTATTCGTTTGTTTATTTATTTTGAAAGGGGCTTGGGGAGCTCTAAATCAAAATCTCAGCCATTTGTCAATAAGGACCCTTACGTCATTTGCAATAATAGAAGTCAGAGTGGTTCTGTGTGTGTGATAATAAATAAGTGAACAAACAAAATAAGTATCAGTCCACTTTTGCAAGTTTACTTTACCCACTGTTGTTTCATTTTGGTTCATGTAGCATTTAGAAGGAAATATGTGAAGAGGATAAACCCTAAAACAATCAAAACATATTGCATGTTGTCAACTCCAATTTGATTCTGAAGGGTTCGTACTATAATATATCCTCTTAGGTTTATGGGGAACAAGAGAATCAGAGTTGTGGGGAACAAGAGAATCAGAGTTGTCTAAGTAGAATTCTTTGGGAATAAGCCATTGTTGCAATTGGGGTCGGGGTTTCCAACATGTTGGAGCACCTGTCTACTTGGCTTGAGAGGAAAAAGAGAAAGGAGAGGGAAAGGTAAAGATAAAGGATACCTAACTCTTTCTCGTGGCTTGCTTCCTAGTTTTACCTGTTGGGAACAAGTCTCCTATTCCAGATGATATGTCTTGCATGAAGAAGGCCAAAAGACATGATGGTCAGGGCAGTTGGGTTACTGATTACCTTGTTGTGAAGGACATAAGCATCAATAAAATAGTTTCTGATACAGACTTGATTGAAACAACTTGCCGCCTGACACTAATCCCACACCTAAGTGGTGGAAGACTTAGGTATACCATGAAGCTCCAGTCGTCTTATCTTGAATATATGAATATATACATATATATATATATATATATATATATTTATCCATGTATCAAGAGAGAGAGATATATATAGAGATACACACACCTTTACATATAATTCTTATCTGTAAGAACTCCAAGACGAAACGAGTATAATTCGAAACGAAGGATCCATTGTTTATATAATTCAGTTTCATATACCGAGCTCCATACATCTGAGAAGACAAACGAGCAATCATGTGAAGAAAGAGTCCAAAACGTTCAGAATCTGTTACTACAAGAAAGACGAGGTCCAACAGATCCCGTGATATACCCCCCTTGAAAGGACAATGACTGCCAATAACATGTTCGAGAATGGAGCCTGTTCTGAGTAAGAGAGAATAGAGACTACTTTCATTTATACATCTAAATCTTGGAATTGAGATATAATGCTGGTGGAGATACTGCTACTACACAAGTCAACACAAGTTGATGGAGGTGACAAGTGTAGCATAGACAGTCATGCTTGTCTGATCCAACTTCTACTTGCAAGCGAAGCCCTTTTTTAGGAGGGCTCCTGCTTTCGCAAATGATGCTGAGGAACCATCCTGCTCTGAGAAGTTTGAAACTGATGCTCAACTGCACCGAGAAGATGAAACACTCCGAAATGGGAAGGCATTGAATTAGGTGGAACTAGTTGAAGGTCTAAGCTGTACAAGAAATTCAAGGTGGCGTAATCCAAAACAAGCGGAAGTCTCCTCGTACAAGTTCTCCCAATATTTTGTTTCTATCTAAGTTCGTATCTGGAGTAAAGCTTAGTGTCCTCTGTTCGGCTTCTTGGCTCCCAAATTACTGTGGTCCTTGATGTTGCAGCCGACGTCTTCGTCTGTCTCGATACCAATCTCCTCCTGCAAGCAGAGCTCACGTTAGCACGTATCAGCTCATACTAAAATATAGGAGATACTTTGTCATACAAACATGAGCTGCGCAGGAAATAATGGATCTCTGTTCAGGTAGCTCGCAAAGGTGTGTTCAAGGGACTTCGAAGGTCTAGAACATCAACACGAATCATAACATGCATTCAGCTTAAGACCATGACATGGGGATTACATAACTCTACTCGCTGTTCCAACTAACTATATTTGTGAACAGGACTGCATTATCACCACTTCTTATTGCAACAGCACATAAAACCACCAATCTGAAGTCAACCTGATGGACTGGTGCACTTCAATTTCAGAAGTAAGGACACTTGGGAGCAAAATGAAAATGAAAATGAAAAAAATAATAGACGCCTCTTTAAAAAGTGTTAGACGCATGAAACCAAATGTCAGATGATTTAAATCATCATTTCCTATCTATTTAACAACCTCACTGTTCCCAGGATTAACTTGTGCAATTAAACAGTAGGTGTACAAGACGTGACTTAATACTTCAAAATATGATGAAGAAGAGGCAGTAATTAGGTACCTTGAGATCCTTCAAATTTTCAGTCATTGATTCGGTAATCATACCCCACAGTTCCTGGTATATTTTCTTCCTCTTCCTCCATAACCCCAATCTGTGTTCGTAGGTTCCTTGAACTTCCAGACGCTCTTCAGGTGTAACTAAAACACTGCCTCCTCGCAATGCATCTACCTTTGATTCCATGACTTCGATCTGCATTATAAAAATAAAAATAAAATTACACGAAGTGTACGCGAAGGTTAGGGAGGAGGAACAAGTAGTATTGCATTTTCAAAATATATTTGAAGGAACAGAAACTACAAAAACTGGTCAAGGAGGACATCTCTCTTAGTATGATGATTGCTATTTGAATTCCCTTACAGAAAACCTGAAGACAAATCCCGTAACCTGCCATTGTATGCTTCCACGAGGAATATAACAGAATTACTTGATAAGACCACTGCCATTTAGGACTGATAATGGATATGAATATAATGCATCCTGCTCATGAATGCCTTAGACCATGTTCCTAAAAAGCTGAAACATACACAGCCACATTAACCAGTATTTAATATGCGTACCTCTGAGCTTAACTTTGCCGTCTTCTCCCTAATTGCTTCAAGGGTAAGATTGGATTCCGTAGACTTAACCCCTGCAGTTCGCAGCAAAAGGTCTGTCATTACAGTTTGTAAGGTCACATTGATACCTAGGTGCAGGTGTACTCTGAACACTATGCCAAGCTAAAACGAATTCCAAAATGTGCATCGACGCTGATATTCAACAATGATGGCATTCCCGATCAGAAGCCATGGTTATACAAAATAAAAAAGTAACTTACAAAGTTCATCATCCTTATTGAGAATACACGACAAAACGCTGGTGACAGCGAAGAAACGTCAAATGGTTGAATACATGCTCAATATTCACATGAAATCGAGATAAGCAACGGAGATCATGGCCAGTTTCTTTGATGTAATTTGTACAGAAATGCATCCATAAGTTGTGTAATCGATTGACACATGCCCACAACCATTCTAGAACCAGTTAGGATTTGTGAAAGTACAAAAAGGTACGCACACCTGCTTCAAGCTCTGATACACGAGAGCGAATAACTGCAACATCTGCCTGTAATTGGTCATTTTCCTTCTTCATTGCATCGAGTTCGTCGATGTCAGGTATTTCAAACTGGGACTGGTTAGCCAAGCAGACTCGCTGTTTTCCATAATCTTTGTACGAAATTTTCCCGTTAGCTGCCAGCGTATCCATCACCTTCTGCACAGCAGCTTTCTTGATGCCATGCTGCGCTAATGCATCCGCTACCATTTGGGAATTGAGGGGTCTGTTTTGCTGTCAGAGTTCAACTCCATTTGCTTTCAGATCGCAACATCAACTAGAATTCACGAAAAACGGTCTGCACCCCGCTAAGACTCTCGTGAAACCTCGAGGAAGCGAAATTAATCTGACGAAGCTGTGGCAGACGAGACTCGAAACTATTTCCACGATAATTATCAAGTTCATCAACAATTGATACAACAATGCACCACCGCATTCAAGAATATCACACCAGAGCAAAAAGGCGGAATTAAGTAGGTATCAGACATTTAGGAACTCAGATTTCCAGGGGTGCTAGCCAATTTTGTTAAACCTAATCAAGCACAATAAAGATAGAACTCCAGCAGAATCATCCAAGGATTAAACACTCACTGACTGAAAATTTGAACATCAAGCGGCAGACCATTATTGCCCAACCTAACACGGACATACAACACAAATAAAAATCCTACAGGCTTCGAGCTATGGACCAAAATCGCACCTGATTTATGTAACTCAAAACGGTTTCTGCACAAACCAACGAGAAACATCATTCACGTTCAATTATTTCTGCTACCAAGAGAATTCATCAGGCCACGCACGCACAATCGATACAACTTCAACAGCACATCAGAAATCGGATACAATAACCCACGACTTGGGCATTTCTGGCTAGAAATTCATTCTTTCGCAGAGTGAATTCATCACTAATTTCACGCCTACCTTCAACACTCCCCATCTTGGGAGGCATGATTCCCACAAGTCGACCCACTCAATCCTCCGATCAGATCCCCTTCCGTCGAAGCTCGTCACAAAGAAACCCACATTACCCTCCACTCGAAATAATAACGGAAAGCCTCAAAAGCATACCCTCGCCACGCAGCACGCCGCAAATTCCAGCAACTTTAGTGCAGTCATTCACAAAAACTTCCTCTGCCCATGTTAAAAACTTAGTGCTGTCAGTTGACAGCGAGGTAATAATCACCGAGTAGAATAATCACATAATCACACGGAAGAGTGTACAGCACGGTTCAAACAGAGGGCGGGAGCGGGAACTGCTAAACCCAAGCCTCAGTAGCGGGCTAGAGATTAGAGTAGTGGGATGTAGACTCGTTTTAAGTTGCCTCGCTTCTGTGACGAGAGCAAGAGAGAAAGGGATGATGATCCATAGGGTGCCTACAATTGGAGAGAGAAGGCGGGAACAGAAGTAATGGACCCAGCGCCGAATTTCACACTTCTCATACACATGGAAGGGGGTTTATAATTATAAGGTGATTCACGGCAGATGATGTGGAGGGGGTGGGGATCACAACAAAATTTCACCACCTTCCAGCTCAGAGCAGGGCCCCAGCAAATTTAACGTTTGTGGCCACGTCAGGATGCAGCAATGTCGGGCGCCATAGCAGAGAAAATGTTTACACGGCAACAACCACACATAATCCTCCACTTCTCACTTCAACCTACCTTCCCCTTCGCTCCCCACCGGGCCGGGAGAGTGACCTGATCAGGGGGTTTTGGCGAAATCCGGCTGCTGCAGAGGACAAGGTCGCCAAGGAGCTAATCGCACATTATTTTTCTTGGAACTGTGCAGGTCGGGTTGTGGTTGTCGTGTTGATGTCATGGAGTGTGTATCAATGACAGTTCGATGTTCAAAAGTATTCCAAGACAATGTGCCCCTAGACCATCATTTATGTACTGAGAATCACAGAGTGCACAAGTTCACGGGTCAGAAAAGAGAATTTTGGCGGGATTTGCAGTCGCGGTGGATCAATGTTCTCCCTCTCTTTTCTGTTTAGTTGTTTATGGGGTTTCTCACACGCTGCGGGACATGGCTGGTGAGAGAGGTCATGTGAAGTGAGCGGGGGCGGGAGGGAAGGAGGGAGAGGGTGGTGGTGTTTTTATTTTTTATTTTTTATTTTTCGTGTTGTGTGTGTGGGAGAGAGTTTTAGAGGAATTCAAGATGCCGGAGCTTCCAGAGGTTCAAGCAGCCAAAGTGCTGGTGGGTAGCCGTTGCTTGGGTGGAGTGATAGTGAAGGCCCTCGTGGCTAACGACTCGAAGGTCATCGATGGGGTGACGCCGGCTGCTCTCCAGAAAGCTCTCTTGGGGAAAAAAATTCTAGAGACCCATCGGAAGGGCAAGCACTTGTGGCTCCAGCTTGATTCTCCTCCGTATCCCTCCTTTCAGTTCGGTCCGTTCCTCACAAACCTCGTCCTCAACGATGCTTGTACTGGTCATTTTGTTGTAATCGCTGCTGGTGTTGTTCTGAAAGGCGTTACGGTAGACCTTCAGATTTCGGCAGAGCTTTTTTAAGGTGCTTCTCATCGTTTACATTACCTTCTAAATGTAGAATTGAGACCTTGCAGAACAGACCCCGTCGATATCGTCTCTTACAATTTGTTGAGTAATTCCCCGCCTTGTGATTTCTAGAGAAATGAGGCACAATTTGTGTTGGCTCATGTACACCCTCAGCTCTGTCTAGTCTTGATGTCGTTTGGGTTGGCTACCTTCATTTTCTTGTGAAGCGTTTTGTAATGTTTCCGATTCACTTGGCTGTGCAGGCATGAGCGGTGCTGTCGTCGTCAAGGGCGTCAAGGGCCTGCAATATAAAAGGTGGATATTAGTTATTTGAGCCATATTTTAGTAAGTTGTGCTGAAGGACACAGCTTATAGTAAAACATGGTTTCGGTGAAACTATACAGTTCGTGTCCTTCAGTCTTGATTTATTGGTGAAGGTAGCGAACCAGGAAAGACGTAGTTAGTTATCAAGGACGATTGTACTTTCTAAAAACTGGGAAGTGAGGTTACATATTATACATGTAGGCTGTCAAGTAAAACGTAGACTTCAGTTCTTACCCGAGCTTGATCGAATGTCTAGAGGTTTTGATGTGCTAATCGTGTCCTACTACTGTTTGGATTGTCAGAGTCCATGAAATATAATGTGTAACCATTGAAACAAAGTGTCGAAGAGTTTTCTTTACATTGCTAAGAAATCGTAAAAGACTTCAACATTTGTGCATCTCCTAAGTCTTCAATTCCTTCCGAAAAAAATCATTGACCATCAGAGTAATTATTCCTGGGTGGATTTTGCAGCTCCAAAGTCGATGACACAGAAGAGTTTCCATCGAAATACTGGAAAGTCCACTTGAAGGTGTGCATCCCTGGGCTTTGATTCTCGTTTAGTACTTCCTAGATGGTTTAAATGTTCATAGAGTTTTACACGTACATTTGAACTCATGACCGTGTTGGTGAAGTAGCATGAAGTTTTCAATTGTCAGGGTTAGTGTACCTTAATCCAGTACACGAGCCTTAGATCCATCTCGCAGACTGCTTCTATTTGAGCGTAAAATGATCCTGTGTGATGGTCCTCTTTTTATTTTGTTTTGTTTTGTTTTGTTTATGATACTCTTTAACGGCTACTTGAACATAATGTAGCTAGTTTTTCTGATTTTTTCAGATGCATGACATGGATTACATATGATACTCTTGAAGCTCAAATATATTCATTGTTTTGAGAACCGTGCAATTGTAATTGGGTATAGGCTGTTGAAAATCCCAGATGTATTTACATTGTTTTTCGTTTGTAGAAGTCCACGTCTTGGGGATGCCACAAATTATTGATCACTTGAATATCCGGTTTGCTGGATCTGGCGAACCTAAGATTATTTCGTGAGGAAGTTATTGTTCTTGTCTCACTAAGTTGAGATCGTTGGTGGTACTGGGTTATTGGAAAAGCTTAAGTGGGATGATGAAATGCAGCTGGACACTGGAGTGGAGGTGGCATTTACTGACAAACGTCGCTTTGCTCGTGTTCGCCTACTCGACGATGTAAGTATGCTCGCTCGTGCATTATGAAATGTTGGCCTTCAAGTGTCACGCAGTTTGAATTCCAAGTTGTATAAAATATCTCATTTATTTGATTCTCTTACCTCATTTTTACTAGCTTGTCAGCCTCTCAGACTCGTGACCATCATGACTGTTTTTTTTACACGTGTTTTGCAGCCTGCAAAAGAGCCGCCAATTTCTGAGTTGGGGTTGGATGCATATCTTGAGCTTCCAAGTGCGAAGGACTTCACTGAAGCTCTCAAAACCAAAAAAGGAGCCATTAAAGCCCTTCTTCTCGATCAGGTACTGAATAGCAGTCCTAAATTTTTGTGTGGCGATGCATCCTTGTCGTATGATGTTTGCGTCAATGATTAGTGTGCTTATACGATTACTTTAAATTGTCATGGAAAATAGTTGTTTCAAGTCCTGCCTTCCTTGACATAATTCGCATTGAAGTAATGTCGTGGGGTCGTTGTGAATACAGAGCTTTCTTGCAGGCATTGGAAATTGGGTGGGAGATGAAGTGCTTTATCAGGTACTCGTTGAGCTTGACTAATATTTTGGAACAGGATAAGCTCTTTGTCCTAACAGTTCATGAGTGGTTTGTTTGATTTAATCTGGTTATATATCGGGAGTGGCTCACCCTGGTTCAAAGTGGTGTACGATGTGAACTACAGTTGCATGAGTAAATATGCAATTATCACCTTGTCCAATGCATGGATGTCTTTAACATGAGTTTCGTGATCTTAAAGTTTTGAGGCATTTTTTTTCAGTCAAAAATTCATCCAGAGCAGTCGGCCAATTCATTGAAGGACGAGGAGTGCACCAGGTTACACACCGCCATCAGAGTGGTACAAATTAAGTTCTAGATTTCTTTTCTATGAGTATAGTTGACCTAGATGAATAATTTTGCTTTGAATACTGGTTAGGGATCACGAGTTACCGTCGTGCTCATTAGTTCTGTTCTAAATCCAGTCATCGTGATAGAATTTCCGTCTCCAAATGCAAAAACTCCATTAATGGAGTCATTTTATCGGGAACTGTGCATGATAATCCTGTCTTACCTCACAATAGCGGTATTGTGCACTGGTTAATATGATTGTGCAACTTTATTTTAGTCTAATGTAATTGGTGTGCCTACGCTTGATACTTACTGATCGAGGTTATTCCTGTTTTGCTTTGGGAACTTGCTGTAGGTTTTGGATAAGGCAGTTTCTGTTCATGCAGACAGTGAGAAATTTCCTCGGAGTTGGATATTTCATCATCGTTGGGACAGGAAGCCAGGGAAGATTAGAGGTAATTAATGTAATTAATTTGCACCTTATGCTGATCTTAGGCTGATCTACTATCTGAGTTGCAACAGTCACTTCTTGGAACGTCCTGAAGTGTGTCACCTCGTCACTGTCATTCAACATTAGTTAACTTGTTTTATTTTTGTTACAGGAAACCAGATTGAGACAGTAACCGTCGGCGGGAGGGTAAGATTGCTCTTAGAATTAGATTCTGCTTATTCCTCTGCAGTGAGTGGTACCAGTAAACACTTAATATTTTTTCTCCTTCCGCTGACAACCCCATTTATTGGCACAGACGTCTGCTTATGTCCCCAATATACAGAAGTATAGTGGACGTGAATTGAAAGGAGCCAGGAGGAAGGCAGCTATTGCACATGATATCCCTCACGACGAAACCGATACGGATGAGAATGTAGACCCTGCAGTTGGTGAGGTAGCGGCCGACAAGGAAATGAAAACACAGCCTAAGCACAGTAGGGGACGACCTCCAAAACACAAAGTGGACAATGTAGTGAACTCTACGCCATCCGCTGTGAGCTCCGCTGGAGCGAAGAAGCGCGGTAGACCTTCAAAGCAAAAACCTACCTCGAGCGAAGGAAAAGTAGACACTGAGGAAATTGGCACGGAAAGTCTTTCTGAACCCAAACGAAGAGGTCGACCTCCCAAGGTAAAAACTGATACTCAAACTAAGGTCCTAACTAAGGAAGGAGAAAAAACTTCAGAAGACGACGATAGTGGAGTGGAGGACGCAGGTGAGGCACCTAATAAACTGGCCGGAGCGGGAACGCCCAAGCGTAGGGATAGGCCTCCAAAATCAAAACCCGAAGCAGCTGAAGAGGTGGAGATTATCAAGAAGATCAAGTTGGGGTTAAGTGACGAGGGGTCTGCTAGTCCAAAACGAGGCAGAGGTCGACCTCCGAAGACAAAATCCGATCCCGAAGCCAAACTCGCGGACACTAAGAATGGTCACGTTGAAGTTTTAACTCAGGTTGCAGAAAATGCTGTACCCACTCTAACCCCCAAGAAAAGAGGCCGCCCGTCAAAGACCAAAGCTCCCAGCTGACTTCTTGTGATCCATTTTTAACATTGACAACATTGGCAACATACGGACAGCTAGATGGTTGTTTAAGCGTACGTCCTTGCTGGTGAAGTGCACATGTTTATATACCGGTGCATTAACTATCCCAGCGTAATTTTTCTGTATTTTGTGTTGCTTACCAGACGTCTTATCTGTAACTCGAGACTGCTAATTTTTAATTTTTTTTTTTAGTTCGTCTTCGTTTATGATCTGTCTCTATGTGCCGTGGAATCAAGTACAAATAATTGATGTACGAAGCGTCTATAATCTTCATGTACTTGCTCTTACTCCGTGCATGCATTAGTCGTGACCCGGATATTTCCTTGGGTTGAGAAATCTTTTAGTCATTGTCTCGAATTCATGTCGCTACCAAGGGGCTGCCCAGACAATCCAGCACTTTTTCCTCCTGAGCTAAAGCGGAGTTGGTCCTCAGCGACGTTGACATCCCTGGGGCAGAAGTACGGCACATCGTTTCTATCTGTAAGTGGACATTTTGTGGCTGTACCCAGCGTCCTTGGATCAACAAACATACTTGAGGTTTTTGATTCCTACGCACTTTGACAACTCGACCTTTAATACTAGCCTACCTCTGCCTCTGGACTCGTGGATCAGCTCGCCGCTTCAGGCTTCAGTCAACTCACTCTACCTCTTTGGAACTGTTTCTATGGAGCTTGCTTTCTCCAAAAACAAAACAATGAAAGAATTAAAGTAGAGGAATATTAAATTGTTCCACATAAATCTTAAACTGACTCATTTTTAGAACAATATAATTGTTGTCTCCACCCAAATAGCTGTTAATCGTTCTCAACATTTTATATCCTCTGGATCTTTGTTTTGCCACCTCTTACACATCTTTCTTCACAATGCACCAACTTCTCTTCAATGTGAAATTATCAATCTTGCTTGCTTTTTCTTCAAGTTGCTCCATCATAGTCTTTCCTAGGAGTTCCATTATCCCTCTCACCCCTTGCAGAATTAGCACATCATTAAGTGCAAAATTGAGAGATCATTGAGGGAGTAAAAAAACCCTATGTAATTTAAGAGAAGTAGAGTAGAAGTGACAAACTCTATATAGTGTAAGAAAAGCAAGGTAGAAGCACTTGGATTGATTTAATATTCCTCCAAAAATATTGTACATATAACATTTTAATTTTTTTGAAAAAAAAACTTTTTCATAGTTTTGAATAGAAATATCATATAGTATAGACAACTTAATTGAGTTAATTCACAAATATAGTGGTGATAAAAGTCATAAGTTAGATTTATACATTGGTGATTTACTATTACTTCTTAATACTAGGTCACAAAAAGTAATATATTATATTTATTAATAGTAAAATAAGTCATTCATTACATCATTATTTGATCTATTGTAGTTTTTGTTGTTGAACTAGTTCATTGGTAGGAAGGCTTACCACAAGCATTACTAAATGATAGTTTTAAATGGTTTAGTATCATTTATATATGAATCTTTGATGGAAATAGTTTTTTTGTCATACAAATATTTTTTTATGATCATAAATCTAAAAAATCGATTTGTCTTGTATTATTTGATTGTATTATAATATCTTTTTATTAAAAGAATAATTTTTTAATTAATCAAAATATATATTTTTTCACAAAGATATATTTTTTTGGTAAAGACTTTGTAAATTGTTTGAGTTATAAGATTATAAGAGTTAAAAAAATAAAAAAAGTTATAATTTTTTTTAAATTGCAATAACATAATATAATATATATATATTTTTTAAGAGAATCTTAATAGACCTATGATTTTACTAAATAGATCCACCCTTGATGAAGAATATGGCAATCATGATGAATAAGATTGGTTTTTTATTGGTTACAAATCTTATAATGGGGAAATGAATCTAGAGGTCATTATTTTTTTCATGATGGTTAGGATGGTTAGGTAAATTTAGTTAAAACTTGGTTCCATTTAACATTTTTTTAATTTTATTTAAAAAATATTATTATATATATATTTTTATACTAATATCATAGAATCTTTAAATAAATGAATTATATAAAATCCAATCAATAATAAAAAAATCTTAACAATTAAAAGACTATTTTAATATATAATTTATATTAATTAAAAAAATATTTAATAATACTTATAAATTTTATAATAAAACTTGCTATATCTTAAAAAGCTTTTAGCATCTTTTCAGCAAAAAAAAAAAAAAAAAAAAAAAAAAAAGATTTCAAAATAAAATCCAAATTGCTAAAAACTTTGTAAATATACCAACAATGCTTTAACATTTAATACTTTTATTTAAAAAAATATCATTAAATTTAATTTCTTTGATTTTTATTATTTTAATTAATATTATTAAATTTTATTATTCGTTATTTTTCTTTAAAAGTTATTTTATTTTAGTAATTTCTTAGATCTACAAGATATATTTCTAAATCTCCTATCAATATTACAAATTCTGTTTTTTCTATTCATGTTTAATAAATAATATTATAATATTTTTTTATAATGATAATAATTAGATTTATTTTTATTTTTATTTAAAAATAAAACATATCTTCTCTTTATTAAAATCTATAAGATTAATTTGACTAAATTGATTTATGTCAATTTTTCTTTTAATATTTTAATATCTAGACTTATAAAAATAAAATATATATATATATATATATATATATATATATATAGTTAAGAATATAAATTCTTAAATACCAAATTTATTTTACAAAAATATCAAGTTTAAGTACTCATCTATATCTAAATTAGTCAAAGATGTTAGATTGTCCAATTTATTTGGCAATAATGTCAAGCTTGAATACCATAATATATTAAGGGTAGTCAACAATGCAAGGTTATCAAATTTATTTGGCAATAATATCAAAATTAAGCACTACAATATTTCAAATATAGTTAAAGATATAAAGTTATTCAATTCATTGGAAATGATTCAATTCCTTGGTCCCTAACCTATTTTAGGGAGTCCAAGAAGGGGGGTCCTTAGGTCCTTGGGAATTAAAAGTAAGGTGGAGGGCCCATATAGGTTAAGGTTTTTTAAATAGATAAGATTTTTTTTTAAAGAATTTGGCAAATCCTTCAAATTTTAATAATCTTTTAAAATAAGGTTTTTTTTTTTTTTTTTTTTTTTTTTTTTTTTTTTAAATTATAATTTATTTAGTAATAAAATCAGCTTTAAGCATCTTTTTAAATCTAATTCCAATATTTTATTTATTTCAAAAAATTAGTTTTGAATATCTTATTTAAGAATACAATTCCTTAATTTTAAGAGATTTAAATTCTTAAACTTATTCCAAACATCATTTTTATTTAGCATATGTTAGATTTTGTTTAATACTTCTTCATGAGTACTAATTTCAAAAGATAGATTTAAAAAAACATATTATAAGTTTAGTAAATGTCTTGTCAATGTAAAAAATATGCCTAATCTTTTAAAATCATGTCTTGATATAAAATCACTATCATTATAAATTAAAAATAAAAAAGATAAAAAACATGTAGTTCTTATTTTATAAAACTTATAAATTTTTATAATTGCTATACCATTCTTCTAACTCTAAAACAACATGATTCAAACACACCAAATCTTTTAGAACCTTTATATTAGAAGTCAATTTAATAGATTCATAAATTTAATACCAATATAAATTTAGTGGAACTTGTTCAAAGTTTAATGGCTTTATAAATCAAGTACAATTTATTACTTTGGTTTATTTTCAACGATATTCCATAGAAATATCTTATATTAGTTTGGTTGGAACTTTGCTTTCAATTTAAGCTTTCTCTTAGTTTTTTCCATTATTTGAAAAAAATTCTCTCATATTGCACAACTTAGAGACATTTTTGGTAGCATTTGATGAATATAACAAGATTTATTGTGCAAAAAATCAAGATTCAAAGCCTTCTATAAAGAATACATTTTAGATTGATTTATGCTTCAAATTCTTTATAATAAGTGTATGATATAAATTGGAGAGAAGATGCATTAATAAGCCAATTTTCTTAGGAAATATAAGACAATTTGAAGGACCTACTGTTGTCTATATTTGATATTCAATCACTCAATGAAACCATCAATTCAACTATAAAGTACAATAATCAACTTTTTTAATATTGATAAGATAAATATCTATTGTTTGTATTATAAATTTATTTCATATCTTTTATTTTTTTTAATTTTAGTAAATATTCGGAAATAGAAGATATTAAAATTGATGTATTTTTAATTAAAACTTTTTTTAAATAAAAGAATTATTAAAGAAAATATAATTTTTATTTATTTTCTAAAAAAATTGGCACAAAGATTTATAATAGCCACAATAAGCATCAACATATACATAAGATAAGAAGTAAAGTCACTTCACCAAATAATTTGTAAAAAATCAAGAATATGTAGTCACAATAAGGACCATGTAGTTGAATTCTTCTATTCCACATATCAAAAAAGATCATGTATTATCACGTAACTCTTCTTGTAGCTTTATCATAACAATATATTTAGATGTTCAAAACCTCAAAATTCTTGATTTGATAGATTCAAAAGCCTATTTTTTCTTTATTGATATAGAAATTTTAAGAATTTATAAAATGCATATAGTTAAGAAAGCCAAGGCTGTCCATGTAAAGGTCACAAATGGTAAATTTTTATCCTTTAAATACATTATTCATAAAACCAATTTATTACAAATAGCATAAAAGAATTAAAATAATTAGGTTGTATTTAATATCATTAGGTCTCTATTTAATTTTATTATTTTAAGACTTTCTTGACAAAAAAGTTATAATCTTTTTATAGATTGGATATTTTCTATAATAGAATTTATTAAAATATTATAACTTATTATCTATAAATTTGATAGAAAGTTCTATATACCTTATAGATTTAGAATTATAAAGTCCAATTTCATTTAAGTTAGTACTTTTATGAAGCAACCAAGAAAGATAATTTTTTTTTGTTTATATAATTCCAACATCTAAATTGATAACAATTCTTCCAAAAGAATACAAAAAAATTTAAGATGTGTTCAAAAAGAAGAATGCAGATACTTTGCTAGAATATTGTTCTTATGATTGTGCTATAAATCTTTAAAATGGAACACAACTATTTTTTGGTCCAATTTATAACTTATCACATAATAAATTTATGACATTAAGAAAATATATTAATAAGAATTTAACAAAAAAAATTATTTAAAATTCTATATTTCATGATATTACATCTATATTCTTTGTAAAGAAAAAAAAAATCTTTGTAGATGTGTTTTGACTATTGCAAT